CTAAAGAACTGAGATTAGAGGCATAAAGATCAGAGCTGAAATCTAGCACAAACACTTACTAATTGTGTGATGCTGAGCAAGTCACTTAATGGTACTTCCTGTAAAATTGGTATAATGTAACTCCTATCTTAAAGGATAATTCGAAGAATCAAATGGAAAAAAAGTATGTGCAAACTTTACAAGTGTTAAATAAGTGTTAGTTATTGTTGCAGTCATTAATGGATAAAGCCTTAGAGTATTTCTATGAGAGCTCAAGGCATTTTTTTCTTTATATAAATGTGAGTTAAATTCTTATATTTACAGAGAAAAATTTCAGTGGAAGCATGGGTCAAAAATAGTATCTCTAGTTCATCCTGGTCTACATAAACCTAGAGTTTTGATTCTGAAATATGGGTTACATTCATAAGACAAAGATGGAGCAGGCATGATAAGATAGCAGTTCATCTTCAAAAAGAGTTGAATATTTTAGGGATCTGCCCAATCAATATAAATCAATAGATTGATAGGATCATAAAGAATCCAGTATTAATAAAGGTATATATCCCAGAAAGATGGAGGTGATAGTGCCTCTGTATTCTCCCCTAGTCAGACCACATATGTAGTAATGTGTTAAGTTTTAAGCACCACTTTTTTAGAATAACATTGATAAGACATAGAACATCCAAAGGAAGGCTACTTGTTGAGGTTAAGGTTGAGCATCAAAATCATGCTACTTGAAGATAAATTTTGTATAGGGAATAACAGATATCTGCAAATATTTGAAGGGTTATAATGTGGAATAATTATTCTGTTTGTTATATTTAGACCCATGGAAAAGACATAAGATACAAATTTATTTATATAATTTTATATACATTTATTTGAGTACAAATTTATAAAATATAAATATATAAATTTCATCTAGATATGAGGAGAAGCTTTCTAACAGTTAAAGCTACCCAAAAAAATGCAATCAGCAATTTTAGGAGACAATGGATTCTCCATTAGAAGTGTTTAAGCAAAATTTGGATGACTAGTTTATTTTGGATGTCAAGCTTATTTTAATAGGAATTTTTCTTGGACTAGTGTGACGACATGGCCTCTGAGGTCCTTGACGACTCTAAGACAGTGTAGCTCAAAGCAAGGCAAATGATATAATTTGTGCAAGAAAGGTGAAGGTTACAGCTTTTAGCCAATGTTAGAACCCAGATCTTAGGACATCTAGTCAGGTGCCCTTCCTACTACTGTTTCTACTAGTAAGTGTTAAATGAATTTCATGTGTGTGTTTGGGTTATCTCTATACATGGATTATAAGATCTCTAAGAGAAGATTATTTATTTTTAATTTCCCTATGTTATTGATTATATTGCCTCAAAATAATGAGTTTTCACTAAATATTAATCTTGATGAGAATACATAAGTCTATCATTCACATAAATCAAGAGATATTAAATTAATCCAAAGAAATAACTTATCCCTGAGGATCTCCAGTCCATATGACTTTCCATGTTGATGCTGAACCATGAATAACAATCTGGGTTTTTTAAAATGAAATCCCTTGAGGAATTCCCTAACCACTTAACATTTATGTGATTAAGACCATATCTTCTTAACTTGTTGATGGGAATGTCATACAGGACAGAATAAAAAGGCTTGCTAAAGGCCAGCTAGATTACATCTATTACTTTCTCCTTATCTGCATGGCCTTTTGCATTATCACTGCAGAAAATTAAACTGGGTTGTCATGATTTTCTCCTTACAAAACCACATTGATTTCTACCCTCTGCCTTTCACTTCCCATCTCTATGATCATTGCGGTTTATTGTTCAATGACTTGCGTTAGCAGTTTCCCAAGATACTGAGCTCAGTTGACCAGTCTTTGAGGACCTGAGTTATCTTTCTTTACTCTGAAACAAGAAAAAGGAAAAATGAAGGTTATAATATGTACCATTCTCAAGGGTTTTGCCATGGATTATATTTGGTTTTCCCTTCTCCTTAAATATAGTACTCCATTTCTTTGAAATAGGTTTCCTCCTCCCACCTTTCAATATTATTCCTCTAAATGGCAATTAAAATCCAGGATCCTCAAATGACTCATAATCCATTTCTTTTTTATTAATTTATTTATTTTTAGTTTTCAACATTCACTTCCATTAGCTTTGAGTTTTAAATATTCTCCCGCTCCCTCCCCATTTCCACCCCCCAAGATGGCATGCTATCTGATATAGGCTCTACATATGCATTCCTATTAAACAAATTTTCATATCAGTTATGTTATAAAGAAGAATTAGAACCAATAGGATGAACCACAAGAAAGAAGAAACAAAATGAAACAGAAGAAAAAAAAGAGCAAATAGTGCTTCAATCTGCATTCAGACTCCATAGTTCTTTCTCTGGATGTGGATAGCATTTTCCATCATGAGTCTTTTGGAGACGTCTTAGATCTTTGCATTGCTGAGAAGAGCTAAGTCTCTCAAAGTTAGTCAACACATAATGTGGCTGTTACTATGTACAGTGTTCTCCTGGTTTTGCCTACTTCACTCAACACAAGTCCTTCCAGGTTTTTCTGAAGTACTTCTACTCATCATTTTTTATAGCACAATAGTATTCCATTACATTCATATAGCACAACTTGTTCAGCCATTCCTCAATTTATGTGTATCCCCTCAATTTCCAATTCTTTGCCACCACAAAAAGAACTGCAATAAATATTTGTGAACATATGGGTCCTTTTCCCATTTATATGATCTCTTTGGGATACAACCCTATGGGTGCTATTGCTGGGTCTAAGGAGATGCACATTTTTATAGCCCTTTGGGCATAGTTCCAAATTACTCTCTAAAATGGTTGGATCAGCATAATCCATTTCTTAAACACATATACTCAGAAACAACTTCATTATGATTAGCATTTACTTCTGTTGTGAGTGTATATATGTGTCTGCGTTTGGGAAAGAGGATAGTTACATATTAATATTATGCAACACTAATTTGATTATGAACTTCTTAAAGGCAGGGACTGTTTTTGTTTTTAACCATTCTTTATATCCCTTAGTGTTTAGTACATACCTGGCATATGGTAGGGGCTTAGTAAATGCATGTTGACATCTGATATTGTATTATGTGTGCTTGTATTTAACATCTCTCACTTAATCCTCAGTAATAATTCCTTGATTACAAATGGCTAAGAGTCAGAGATTATGTTCTTTTTATCATTATGTCCCTTATGAGGCCTAATGTGATCCCATTGCATATAGTGACTGCTCAATCAGTTAGTTTATTAGAGAAAGAGAGGGAAACAAGTAAGGGATGTGTCACAAATATATCTTTAACTCTTAAGTAATCTGTGAATTATTTCAGGTGTATCATTTATGAATTTGTCTTATTAGATCTGTAAATTTATTTCCAGCTTGTACACCCATTTGTGTGACTTGCCTTTCCTGATTTTCCTTTCATTTGAAAATTCCTCATTCCCATAGACTGAGCACTCTCTCTTGTGTATAATACTTTAACAGTTACAGGTGGCATATCATAAGTAACATCTCTTCACTCTTTCAATTGCAAATGTATGTAGCTGAGTCATTGTTATGGAATGTTGGCTTAAGTAATTTTGGAAAATAGAATTTGGTCTAAGGGTCATTTGTTTCTCAAATGAAATCGTCACCATATATTACAGTTTATAATTAGCTATTCTTCCAGCTCCCTTCACTCTCTTCCTTATTGTTTAGTCTTCCTCTTCTTTTCCTATTTCAGTAATAATTGATATTGCTATTTTCAAATATTCCTAATTAAAAGTTTTACATATGGCAACTCAAGTTTCTTATGGTAGCAGCACTGTACAAATATAAAAACCACTAGGAGAGGAATATCTTCCCAAGTAAAGTTTCCTAAACATTAGAGCTAACCATTGATTTATCAGATGAGAAAACAAGGTGGCAAAGTTAGGGACTCAGATGTCAGACTCTGAGTATTATTGTTCAGTCATCTCTAACTTTTCATGACCATTAGAGGTTTTCTTGGCAAAGTTGCTGGAGTGGTTTTCCATTTCTTTCTTCAGCTCATTTTACAGATGAGGAAACTAAAAGCAAACAGCGTTAAGTGACTTATTCTCAGTCACACAGCTGGCAGGTATCTGAGGCCAGATTTAAACTTAGAAAGATTAGTTTTCCTGATTCCAAGCCCACTGTTCTATCCATTGCACCAATCTAGCTGCTCCTTACTAGGTTTGCTTCCACTTATTGATTGTATGGTCTTGGGTAAATTATTTACCATCTCCAAGACATGCTTCATCTATAAAATGGGGATAATAACTGCTATATTGTCTGCCTCTGAGGGTTGTCCTGAAGATTAAATGACATTATTGAAAAGCATTTTGAAATTCTAGATTGGCAAATAAATATGAGATGCTATTATTATAATACTCATTTCTCATAAAGGAGTCTCTTATAACATTTTTTTTTATGTTCTGAACTATTCATTTAGTAGGATCTTATTACTAGGAGAGCTCAAACTAAATGCAGCATTCTAAATTTATTTTCACCTTTTCAAATTCACACCTATTTTGAGTGAAGAACTTGCATTTTCACTCAAGTATCATTTAAATTTTAGAATGGCTAACAACAATATTTAACATCCTGAATTTTTAAGACAAATACATATATCTGGCTTCAATTTAAATGTTATTTAATATATATACAATATTTGTATAATATAAATATTTATAATCATATCACCTTTTAAAAATGAAAACTACATAAACCACATGATAACATTTTTATATTGCAAATAATATAATGATGAATATCTATACTCAAAGACATAAAAAGGGAGTTTTATGCTTCAATTAGTTACATTTGATGAAAATTGAGTTAAATGAAGTAGAATGAGGAAACCAGATAAAGAATGAAGAATTTTATTATTATAGCCATAGCTGTCAGATAAATGAAAGGGAATTTTTTTAAATGCCAGTTATGAATTTTTTCTTCAGTTTTCTGATCAATTCCCATTTCTTTTCAATTGCAGACCAAAGGTTCTCAGACCATGACAGCTTCTGGTACCCAGAAGAAAGTAAAGAGGACACTACCAAATCCACCTCCTGAAGAAAGTTCCTCAGGGACCCCATCAGCATACAGCACCATGGGTTCTGTTTCCCGAAGAAGAATCTGCAGAACTAATACAATGGCAAGAGCCAAAATCCTCCAGGATATAGATAGAGAACTCGACCTTGTGGAAAGGGAATCAGCAAAGCTCAGGAAGAAGCAAGCTGAACTAGATGAGGAAGAAAAAGAGATCGATGCAAAGTTACGGTACTTGGAAATGGGAATCAACAGAAGAAAAGAAGCCCTTTTAAAGGAAAGAGAAAAGAGAGAGAGAGCCTACCTCCAGGGAGTAGCTGAGGATCGTGATTATATGTCTGATAGTGAAGTAAGTAGCACTAGGCCAACCCGAATAGAAAGTCAGCATGGTCTGGAAAGACCAAGAACTGCACCCCAAACTGAATTTAACCAATTTATGCCACCACAAACACAGCCAGAATCTCAATTAGTTCCACCAACAAGTCCTTACACCCAGTATCAGTTCTCCTCCCCTGCTCTTCCTACACAAGCACCAACTCAGTATACCCAACAGTCTCCTTACCAACAGCAGCCTTTATACCATCAGCAGGTTTCCCCTTATCAGACCCAGCCCACTTTCCAAACTGTGGCGACAATGTCCTTCACACCACAAACACAGCCTCCACCAACTCCACAGCCTTCATATCAACTCCCATCCCAGATGATGGTAATACAGCAAAAGCCAAGGCAGTCTACCTTGTATTTGGAACCTAAAATAACATCTAATTATGAGGTCATTCGAAACCAACCCCTGATGATAGCACCGGTTTCCACCGAGAATACTTATGCAGTTTCCCACCTTGGTAGTAAGTACAATAGTTTAGACTTAAGAATAGGTTTAGAGGAAAGAAGCAGCATAGCAGGCAGTCCAATTTCAAGCATATCGGCAGATTCTTTCTATGCAGATATAGAACATCACTCACCACGCAATTATCTATTAATTGATGATATTGGCGAGCTTACTAAGGGTACAGCAGCCCTTAGTACTGCATTTAGCCTTCATGATAAGGATCTGACAAAAACTGACCACCTCCTTCAAACAACAGAGGCACGCAGAACTCAAGAAGTTACAGATTTTCTGGCCCCTTTACAGACTTCTTCCAGACTGCATTCTTACGTAAAAGCAGATGAAGACCCAATGGATGATCCCTATGAATTGAAACTTCTGAAACATCAGATCAAGCAGGAATTCCGTCGTGGTGCTGAAAGTTTAGACCATCTTACTGGTCTTTCCCATTATTACCATGCAGATACTAGCTATAGGCATTTCCCCAAATCAGAGAAATATAGCATTAGTAGATTGACACTTGAAAAACAGGCAGCAAAACAACTTCCAGCAGCAATCCTTTATCAAAAGCAGGCAAAGCATAAAAAATCACTAATTGACCCCAAAATGTCAAAATTTTCACCAATTCAAGAAAGTAGAGACCTTGAACCTGATTATTCAAGTTATATGACTTCTAGCTCTCCATCAGTTGGAGGCATTTCCTCCAGGGCAAGACTTCTTCAGGATGATATTACTTTTGGCCTTAGGAAAAATATCACAGACCAACAAAAATTCATAGGATCATCCCTTACTTCATCCCTTGGAACAGGCTTGGGCACATTAGGTTCCACAATCCGGTCAGCGTTACAGGATGAGGCAGACAAGCCTTATAGTAGTGGCACTAGATCGAGGCCTTCTTCTCGACCCTCCTCTGTCTATGGACTTGATTTATCCATAAAGAGAGATTCATCAAGCTCTTCTTTAAGACTGAAGGCTCAAGAGGCTGAAGCATTAGATGTTTCTTTTAGTCATGTGACACCCTCTGGCAGAACTAAACCGACAAGTCTGCCTATTAGCCAGAGCAGAGGAAGAATACCAATTGTTGCTCAGAACTCAGAAGAAGAAAGTCCTTTGAGCCCCGTTGGCCAGCCAATGGGAATGGCAAGAGCTGCAGCTGGACCACTGCCACCAATATCTGCTGATACCAGAGATCAGTTTGGATCAAGTCACTCATTGCCTGAGGTTCAGCAGCATATGAGAGAAGAGTCACGGACTCGAGGCTATGATCGGGATATAGCATTCATCATGGATGACTTCCAACATGCTATGTCAGACAGTGAAGGTAAACTAGGCTCCATGCTGTTACATTCCTATCAAAACACAGATCCTCATTTCTCTGCATGTCTAATTGTCCTTCTTCAAGGACTTATTCTTCCTGTTTTCTTGGTGTGTTGTTTGTATATTTATTTTAATTTTATTTTTTGTAAAGAGAGAGTCTGTATTGTGTGTAGATTTGAAAGCATGTTTTATTTTTGTTCTTTTGTTGTTGTTGTTGTTGTTGTTGTTGATATTTCTCTTCCTGTTCTGGTTTCCCCTTGATTTCTTTGCATATGTTCTGGTGTCTCCTTATATAAAGTCATTATCAAATAGCTACTATTAAATAAAACATGGTCGTCCCTTACATTCATAGGTGGAACTTTAGTTATTGAAATTAACTCAAAAATTTTCCCTCTAAAATTTGTTTATACCTTTGAAAGATCATGATCAATTTCCTTCCGTTTGCTTTGTTAAATTAATAAGTCCTAAACTTAATAGTATTTCCCTGTTGAATTTTACTCTCTGCAATTTTATTAGTTCCTGTCTTGTCATTCAAAAACCATATTTAAAGGTTAATGAGACTTAATCAGCCAGTGATAATTTGACATTCCTCTTGAATTTAAATAGTTAGAGTCATAGAACTTATAACTTAGACATGAAAGCAACTTCAGAGTTCATAGGATCTGAGAGAATCATTTAATTATTGCTTTTAGAAAAGTTTATATAATAATAAAATTATATTTCTCTTGGTCTATAGAGGGCCATTGGATTGACCATTTTTATTTTACTGACCAGTCAATTGAGTTACTCAGAGTCCATTTGATTGATTTTTCCTCTTTCATTTAATTGTTGTTTGAATGAGTTGATTAAATCAGCTAGAGTTTATGGCATTAAATGTCTACAGTTTTTAATATTTTTGCAGAATTTTTATGTAAGCATCATTTTAACATTGTTGTCGACTTAGAGAAAGGTAAGATGATTCTTCAACAACCATTAAAAAAAGATACTGCTATTATCAGAGTAACTTGTTCATTTCAGATAATTAAATGATAAAATGAAGAATTATGAATAATGAATATGATATAATATTTTATTAAGCTAAATAACACCTAAAGACTCTGTCTACCTGTTGACAAAAGAGGTCAATGAAATACCAAAAATTCAGTCAGATATCTTGGATGTTTTGTTTACATGATTTCAAAACATGTAAATGTTTCTAGTATACAACTATGTAGCATTATTTATACAAAGCTTAAGGAGGACTGAATTGTTGATTTTTCATGTGATAAAGTATTAAATATATGAAATGATACTTGTTGTGGTTGTCTAAACTATGTTAAAAGAGGTCATCGATCTGACAGTAATCATTTTCAAAATATAGAAATGTATTGATTACAACAATGTCAGAAACATGTAAGATTTAATATGAAATTTCTTTAAAATATAAAGCAGAAAAAATTAATAAAAGTCACCTGGACATTGAATGAAACAGGGAAATTGTAAAATTAATAAATGCTTGCTATAAATTTTCATGTTATTGTGTTAATGTATCATAAAATAAAAATGCATGCCTTTTACTACTTGCATATATGATTATCTCAAAAGAAAAATGTGCATGACATGAAATAAGTTTTCTTTCGTGATTAATTCATGCTTTCCAATTAGCAAAATATTTCTGTTCAACAATGTTTCATTTTGTTTTTAAAATATTTGCTACTTTATTGTAATATGAAATAGAAAACATTTTTCCAGTTATCTCACAGAACTCATTTTTGTTTCACAATATGTGAAGCCACACTTTTCTTTCCAACTTACAACATCAGTATAATAAAGACTTATCTACAGGTACCAAAAGAAACCATTGAAAAGTGAGCAATATAGTGCTTGACCAAATCAAACATCTGCTATTCTTTTTTTTAATTCAAAGATTTTTTTTGTAAACCCTACATATGAAAAGATAGCCTTTAAAGCTGTTTTTTTTTCAATTGTTCTGAGATTCTATATGCCTTGAATAAATTCTTAAAGTGATTAATTTATATATTCTACCTTGCATAATGCAATGGCTATAACCACCCTAACTTGACAATCACCCTAACTTAACTTTCATTATGAAATATAAGGTAAGTAAAGGAGCAGGTCTTTAAACCAAGATCTTTTACACCATAATAAAGTTAAGTTACAGGATCACAAAATTACTACAGATTTATGCTGTTTGTTAAAGTATAATAAAATGTAGTGACTATGGGTAAAACACAAACTCTGTGTGTCTCATAGAATGCCCTAATATTGCAGTAGTCACATCTCATTACCAACCTGACAGAGTTACACATCATTCCCTTCCATAAACCAGAATTGTTAATGGAGATTATACAATCTTGGTTCATTTTACATGATGGTGAAAAGGCAAATTTTCCTTTTAATGAGTATAGTGCAGTCTGATGCAAGAAAGATTTGGCCAACCCATGTATAATTTTGACAGTAATATTTAACATTAAAGATAGTTTGGGGATGGTTTTTTTTGTTTTATATATTAAATGAAATTACTAATTAAAATGTCAAGTATTTATCACAGGCAAATTAATTTAAGATCACCTATTAATTATTTTTTGTCCTTTAAGGAACACAAACCTTTTCAAATCCACTGCATCAATAGGTTTCAGCTTTTGATGCATTCTGATTAATTGTATGTCATTTCTATAGTGATACTTCAAGTAAAACTAATTACTGTTCTCATGTAGGTTATTATATATTTTTTTAGTTGTCTCTGAGTTTTGCTTTTATTACTGAAGGTCTGCTTTGATTTTTTTACTTGATTTATCAAATCATTTAAACAGTCAGAAAATGGAAATTTGTAAGTGGTGGGTTTATATGAGCAATACAGAATTGGATAGAAACTGAAAATAAACTTCATCTCTATGACTTTGGTTCACCATAAGCAAGGGGGTATTCAAATATATTAGTTCATTTTCTCATGGAGCAATCATAAGGAGTCAAATGCAATTAAATCAGTCTTTGTTTTCTTTTTCTTTCTTTTTTTTTTTGCCATAGCTTTATAGAGGCAACCTGGAAAACAAACTCATTTCCCCATGTTTATAAATATTATCAGAACTGTGCATCTTACAAGTGAATTCAAGCCATGCACAAAAATAGGCAGTGGATTAATTTAATTCAAGTATTAAAAGTTTTTCTTTTTAAAATGTTAATATTAGAAATCAACAAATGACGAAAGAGAAAAGAGTGTAAGCTGGGATAAATTGGGAGGTAGATGGAGAATATGATTTGGATAAACAATTGAGTACTTTTGTACCTCGTTTAATTCAATAATGGATTACTGGGTATAGCTTGTATTCTTTCTTCAGAATTACATATCATAAAAAATTTCTTTATTTTAGTAAATTATTAGCTAGAGCTAAAATTGGTCCAACATAGAGCACAACATAGATTTTAAAATTGATTTAGTAACTTCTAATGAGGACCTGGGGAGGGATATGCTTCAATGTAACAAAATTGATGCTTATCATAATTAGAACGATACTAAACATCCTCTAAATGCTACTATTGTTTCTCTCCTTTCCACATAGACATAAATAATTTAAATTTTGTTAATTTTTGTAGTAATGTACCAACTCATTTATTCACTAAATTTTTATTGAGTACCTGTTATATCCAAGGCATTCTGAGAGACACTATGAGGAATACATAATAAATGTTCTTATCTTTCAAGGAATTTGCAGTCTAGTCATAAAACTAAAGTAAGACCCAAACTCATATCTATAAAACAAGAAAAAATGTAACAAATAGTAGAATATTTAGGAGTTCAGAGGACAGAGAGGATAATTCTACTTTTGATCAAAGGCTTCAGGGCCATCAATTGTAAGCTGGCCTTAAAGGACAGGTAGGGTATCAGATTGATATGAGAGAAAAAAATATTACTGAGCTTACTAACTTTCACAATCAAAGTGGTAGAAATAGGAAATTGAAGGCACATAATAGTACAAATGAGTATTTCATTTTGGTTACAAAATAGGCATATGGGATAGAGGAGTAATGGGAAGTAAAATTGGTAAAAGAGGAGTAAGTGTGATAGGTAATGTATATTCAAATGTCAGAGAAAGTGAGTTGAATTTTAATTGGTTGGCAATCTGAGATATTAAGAAAGCTAGAGGGGAAAAAATGGTAGTACAATGCCCAAGTAGCCATGAAGTTAAAAAATGTCAGATACCTAAAATGCTACTGAAGAGTCAAAGAAGTCAAGAACTGAATAAATAAAAATGTCACTGCATTTAGAAATTAGATAAGCATCAGTTTCTAAAAGATAAGAATTTAGAACATTTCATAAGTATTTGAACAATTTAAAAGGGATTTCATGTGTGTGTTTACATACATATGTGCGTGCATGTGTGTATATATAAATATATAAACATATGTATTAGGCTCTAGGTGTTTTTATTCACATTTATTATGACAAGGTAGAGAACTCTCCTCCAAGGCCAGTAAGCACATAATAATAAATTGAGCATCAAGATAAATATTTCAAACATATAAGCTTTGAAATAAGTTCTCCTTTTCACTTATTCATTCAAATTAAAATTCCTTGCAATGTAAAATAAATTTTCTACTCAAAAGGGATATTTTTTAATGTTAGACAACTTAAACTAGGGACATGACCTACTTAAAAGATGCATCATTTAAAATATTGAGAGACTAACAAAATAAATGTGACCTGACTTTGGAAGACCTAAGAACATACCTAATAGTTCTTCATGAGAAATGTTAAGTAATTTCCTATTTGCCTCAATAGCTTTAATTCTTAGGCAAAATACATTTTATAATAATTTTGCATTTTAGAGACTGAGGCCAATAGTCTAGTTTTTTGTTTCAAGCTTAGAAAGAATGTTTATTAATATACAAGAAGGGCCACTGTCTGAAGAGTATGGATTCACATTCCCTGTTGTGCAAAGAAATTAGATAACAGGTATGCCTAGTCTTGCCAAAGAAGCTGTTATGATACTTGTTCTACATAAC